CGGTTTGTTTTGGTTCGAAGCTGTGCTGCAAGAAGTCGAGAAATGAGTTTTTTCGCGGTTTTCTCAGCCTTTTTGCCTTTAGTCACTACTCTACGGACATCATTAAGTTTGTAGGTAGCGAAGGAGCTTACTTGCTGAAAGAATCCAGCTTGGTGTGTGACTTTTTAAGCGATTTTGATTCCGCGGTTCATTCGATTAACTCGGACAGTCGCTTGAAGAGAATCACTTAAAAGACCGTCTAAAGGCAAATCCTTGGAGCTGCCACGGTAATTTTTGGATGTTTTGGCTATTGAGGAACAAAAGCGACTTGAAATTTTGGCAGATTTCCGAGAAGGCTGTTTTTGTTTATTGCTGCCGCAGCGTAGCGAGCCTGAGCGAGCGAAGCGTAGGCAGCGACTCTAATCTGGACAGGTACAAAATTTCTCGATTTTTTCCCAAGATGCAATAGGTTTTCATTAACCGTCTTCCTTTGCGCCACTATAAAAGAGTGAACAGTCCCGGATGTTCTTTCTGCCTCGTGCTTTAGCGTTTTTGATTGTATTCCTCGTGAGGTGAGTCGAGTTTTGTTCTGTTAGTTTGACTTTTCTTGCTGTTTTTCTTATTAAGACTACTAATTCAAATAAGTATTAACCTCGATCATATTTTATCTTTCAGTTCTATCATTACACAACGTTATTTGTGGCAAAGATTGTCATCTGAAGAGTTTATCTATAGTGAGTTGATTGTTTACACAGTTAGCTATACTTTTAAAAATGCACGTTTCAAAGATTCTTTTTTGTTTTAAACGTTATCTTTATATTGCTTTACCTTCATAAGGAAATACCAATTCTGAACGTGCGCATTGTTTTGTGCGCATTGTTTTTTTTTTGCAAGATTCTTTTGGATTGCACTGAAGCAGTGGAACAATATCAGTGAGACCTTCTGCACGATTTCAATTCTTATTATTATTCTTTCGAATAATTGATAATTACCACAAAATTATCTACGACAATGTTAGCAGATGTGTTATTTCTTTCTTTATTCGTTACCAGCTATTTACCAAGTACGGTGAATGAACGCTACACCAAGCTCGTAATCCACATGGTATAGAATCTTTGCCATGAGTTGGACTATTTCATCCGCATTTCTAACCAAACTAAGGATTCTTGTTGGCATCAGATCTATTCTTATATTTTATAAACCGATGACTTCATCATTCTAGTTGAATTTTCAAATTATTATCGGTCGAGGATTATTGTTTCAATACAAAAGAAATAACATACCATGGTCACCATGGTACATTAGGAATTATAAATGCACATTTCAAAGAGTCTTAATTGTTTTAAACGTTGTATTGATATTGTTTTACCAGCATTAGCGAATACGAATTCTGAAGATGCACCTTATTTTGTGTTATGTTTTTTTTTTGTGAGAGATTGTATTGGATTGTACTTAAGCAGTTGAAGAATCTCACTGGAACCTTGTGCATAATTTTAGTGCTTCAACTGATTTATAATTACAAAAAAATACCCTTAGTCTATTTTTCACTAGCTATTTACTAAATAAATAAATTTTCATATTCTAGTTCTACAATTGCCATACAACTATCTCTTATTCATTTTCAAAAAGAAAATATTCTACCTCTTTTGGTAAGTTTCAGCTTTTTCTAGTAGATTATGACTTAAGAACTGATGCATTTTGTTGTTGTTTCCTTCTCCCTTATATATAATATATATAGAAAGAAAAAGTCACACAACTTGGTTTTCTATTCTTTAATGGACTTTTCAGGCGTTTAGCCTTCTTCAACAAACATGATAATATATAATTGTCAATAATTTTATTAAAACAGCTTAAAACTGACAGACATATTATTTAACTGACAGAAATGTTATTGCCTGTTTTCAGGTTTCAAGCAATGCATTCATATGTGCGTCTTTGCGCACTTTGTTTGGTGTGTTTTTTTTGCACGCCTTGTTGTTTGTGCACATGCACTTTAGATTTTACTGTTTCCCAGTTGCTTTGATTGATATTGATAATTTTTTGTTTTCAGATCATCAACAGTTTCTCCTGGTGTTTAGTCACGTAAATACAATTGATCAGGTAATTATTATGCCTTCTCACTTTCTATTTTCACCATTATCAGATGAATCACAAAGATTTTTGTGTAATAAGATGAACTTTCCATCTCAACATGTGATTCAACATGGGTTCAAAGAAACTAAAATTCTTGGTCCCCCTCTAAAAACATGCCGTATAGTTGGTGATGGAAATTGTTTATTTCGAGCTTTATCATATGCTATAACTGGAAGACAATCATACCACCGTGATATTCGCTCTAAGGTTGTTCATCACATGAAAACAATAGAACATGATTTGAAACCACATTTAAATTGTTCTGTAGATCACTATTTAGAAAATTCTCGTATGAATACTGATGGWACATGGGGCACTGATATCGAAATTTTTGCAGCTGCATCGTATTTGAGCACAGATATATATGTTTATACAAATGTTAACAATGCATACCGCTGGCACCTTTTCTCATTAAATATGTTAAATGGCTCTTCTCCTGAGAACAAGGGTGCTATTTATATTGAACATGTCAATAGAGTTCACTATGATGTTGTTATTGATGTTGGTTTACATCATATTCCTGCCAGTAGACTATCTAATGATTTAAAACGTGCTCAGAGTGTTCAAAGTGAACATCATTCAATCAAAAGATCAAAACTCACAGTTGCACCAAAGCAAGATAGTAATTTTTCAAGTACAAAAGTTAAAAGAAGTAATAGAGAAAGGATTTTGCCAGAAATAAACAATAAAGAACTTAAAGAAAATGAGCAACAATTCCATGAATCAAAACCATTTAATCATTCCGATTCTTTCAAAGGATCAAAAGTTACATTTGCATCAAAGCATGATAGTTTTACCTCAGATAGTAAAGTCCAAATTAGTAATAAAGAAGACATTTTACCAGGAGTAACGTGTGAAGAAGCTGAGAAAAACATGCAAAACTTTCATAAATCAATGCAATTTAATATTGTTCAGTGTAATATTTGCCATGAAGCTTGGCCTTTGAGAACAAAACCTAAATCAGTATCTACATATATATGTACTAAATGTGCTAGAGACAAAGAAACCCCTAAAAAATTTTCAAATGAAAACTTGATGATACCTTCAAAAGTTCCTACTCAACTTCAAGGATTAACCCAAACAGAAGAAATGCTAATTGCTCGTGTTCTTCCCATTATGAGAGTTTATGTTAGACCTGGAGGTCAGAGGGGTTATTGTGGACATTGTGTTAATCTACCTCAAAATGTTAAAGAAATAGCAGATTCACTGCCCCGTTGTCCAAGCCAACTACCATTGATTTGTGTAACTATGAAAGGACAAAAAAATACTTTTAAAGATGTTTATGTTAGAAAGTCTAAGGTTGAAAATGCTTTGACATGGTTAACAAAAAATAATCCTCAATATAGAGATATAAAGATCGATACAAAGATTCTAGACTCTCTGCCAGAAAATGGAGTCCCAACAACATTACCAACAATTGAAAGTCAGGATTTGAACGATGTAGAAAGTGAAGTTTCATGTAATGTTGAAAAAGACAAAATTGATGATTCTGACGTTGTCTATAATTATGATACTGATACCAACAGTTTTCTACCAGAAAGTACTAATAATGACTTGGAACTTGATGCAATTCAAGCTGAATTAGGGCATGTAGACTGGCCATCAATTGAAAGTAACCCAGTGAACGAATTCACAACACACTTTCTTGCAACAATGGCATTTCCAACCCTATTTCCTGATGGTAAGGGTGACCCAACTAATCCTTGTCTCTTAAGAGATATACCCTTAGGAAATAAATTTCAGCACCTCATTAAGTTTGCAGAAAATGTAAATGGCAAATGGATTTACAGATTTGCAAGTCATCCTAGGTTTTCCTACTGGGCTTTAAACATGATTCAAAGGCAACGTGCTCTACAGCAAAGTAGTATCTTTTTGAAACAAAATCCTGGTGAATCACATTTGACCATTGACGAATTGCGTGAAATGGCAAATAATAACACTTCCTCTGGTTTCATGTCTAAACTATCTCGATACATTGGCAATGTTACTGGCAGTGCAGCTTATTGGCATAGGGTAAGAGAAGATTTAAAAGCAATCATTGATAGTAAGGGTGTTCCTACAATATTTTTCACATTTTCAGCAGCCGACATGCATTGGCCTGAATTGCATTCCCTTTTTCATAGCACATTAAGTGATTTGAATAACAATGATCGAAGGCAAGCAATTATAGACAACCCACATATTGTTGACTGGATGTTTACCAAACGTATCGAAAGCTTTCTTAAACATTGGCTTTATGACACACTTAAGGCTGAATGGCACTGGTATAGGTATGAATACCAAGCTAGAGGAAGTATCCACTGTCATGGCACTGCAAAGCTAAAAACTGATCCAGGTCTTTGTAATTTAACAGAAATAGCTTTGAAGGGTTATTTGGCTGGAAAAGAGTTACTTAATAAAGATGGTGATCTGCAATTATTACACAACATTAAAGAGGGAAATGAAGCTTGTGAAAAAATTTGTCAATATGTTGATTCAATTCTTTCAACTGAAAATCCTATTCCTCCCGACCAAACAACTTGGATCAAACCTGACTTACATCCATGTAAAAGGGTTTTCAAAGATATACCAAACAGTGAATTAGAAGATGACTACATAAATCTTTTAAACTCAGTGCAACGTCATACACGATGTAGTACTAGCTATTGCTTAAGACAAAATGGTGAAAATTCTGAATTGCTGTGTCGCTTTAAATACCCCTTTGACCTTGCAAACAAAACTCATCTTGTTTTTGAGCCAGTCAATTCAAAAGATAAATCGATAAAATATAGAGCCAAACTAGTCACAAAACGAAATGATTCTCGCTTAAATAACCATCAAAAAGTTCAAATTCAGGGTTGGAGAGCAAATTGTGATATTCAAATTATAATAGACCAACATGCTTGCGTAGAATATCTTACAAAATATGCAGCGAAAGGTGAACCTAAGTCACCTATGTTGACAAATGCTTTTAAGTCTGTTTTGCAGTCTGTACATCTTAACACTAAACCTCACAAAGCAATCAAAAAGATTATGATGAAAACAATTGGTGAGAGAGATTATAGTGCTCAAGAAACAATGCATTTACTTTTGTCATTAAAATTGTACAGTTCTTCATTTGATGTTTTGCCAATAAATTTAAATGGATCACGCAAAGTATTCACAAATGTGAAAGATGAAAGTATCTGTACTTCTCAGTCGTTGTTAGACATATATGCAAATCGTATTAATTTACGTTGCCATGTGCCAGATATTATGGATATGAATTTTGTGGAATTTGCCTCTAAATATAAAGTTGTGAAAGGAAAACTCCAACAGAGACCTCCTAATGTTGTGCCAAGAATATTTCCTTCCTATCCTTCAAACCCAAAAGGAGTTCATTATGAAAACTATTGTAAATACAATCTGTTAAAATTCAAACCATGGGAAACCACACCAAACAATATTTTAACTGATGATGAACTGCAAGAAAAACCACATGCAGCAGAATGGCATACATTTTTGGAAACTCCTTATGCTAAAATCCATGTACCAAACTGGTATGAAAAATTCCATGATGTTTTGGAGAACTTAGAACAAGTAGATGTTCATTTTGAGGAAAATAATGATCAGTCACAAGAAGAGTGGATGATTTTGTCTAATTATCACAATTCCAGTGAAACATTTGATTCAAAACCAACTGGTGATCAATCCATAGACTGGCACTTGGACAGTGTTAAATATTCACATGAGCAAATTGGAAGTATGCCCAATTGGATCGAAAAACATAAGGATACTTATTCTATTCCATGTTCTATAAAATTGCAACCATCAGATCCAAATACCTTTAGTGAAAAACAAAAACTAGCCTATAACATAATATTAAAGCATGCTAATGATATCACTAACATTGAGCCTTTACTAATGATCATCAATGGAGAAGCTGGTACAGGAAAAAGTTATTTGATAAATGCTATTCAATGTTATCTTAAAGAGTTGTGTGTTGTTACAGCAACTACTGGCAAGGCATCTTTCAATGTCAATGGCATTACTATTCATTCATTGTTAAAACTGCCAGTTGCATCATATTCTCACAAAGATTTATCTGGTCATCCCCTTCTCAACCTACAAGAGAAGCTTAAGTCTGTCCAGTATATTCTCATTGATGAATATTCAATGCTTGGACAAACAACATTCGGGTGGATTGACAGACGTTGTAGACAAGCTTCAGGGAAAAATGAACAGTTGTTTGGTGGGAAATCAATTATTTTAATTGGTGATCCAGCACAATTACCTCCTGTGGCAGATAAGCCTTTATATCATTCTGTACCATCAACTGCTATAGGAGAACAAGGCTATCTAGCATATCGTATGTTTAATAGTGTCATTTTATTGACTGATAATCAAAGAGTACAAGGTTCTGACAGTGAACAAAGAATATTTCGAGACCTATTAAAACATATACGCAATGGCTGTATCAGCACTAGTGATTGGAATGTGTTGTTGACAAGACAACCAACCTCCATCACAAACCTTGATGAATTTAAAGATGTCACTCGACTATTTTATAGCAATGAAGAAGTTGGAAAGTATAATTTCTCCAAGTTAGAAGAACTGAAACATCCCATTGCCAAAATTGAAGCAAGACATTCCACTATTAAAGCTAAAAAAATAAGTCCACAAGAACTTTTTGGTTTAGAGCCATTATTATTTCTAGCAAAAGGTGCGGTGGTGATGCTTACAAACAACTTGTGGACATCTGTTGGGTTATGCAATGGAGCTAAAGGAACTGTCATGGATATTATTTATCATCCTGATCACAAACCACCTTCTCTTCCAATTGCAGTTGTAGTCAAATTTGAGTCTTATTCTGGTCCATCCCTTGACAATTTTCCATCTTGTGTGCCAATTCCACCAATAACTGCTTGTGTTGATTCGATTCATGAACGACAGCAGATTCCTCTTAGATTAGCATGGGCGTTAACAATTCATAAAAGCCAAGGTCTAACATTAGATAAAACATGGATAGATATTGGCAAAAGAGAAACCAGTTTAGGAACATCCTATGTCGCTATTAGTAGAACACGAAAACTTTCTTCTTTAGTTATTGAACCCATGACATTAGAAAGGCTTCTTAATATTAATAAATCTCCAAACATGAAATACAGAAAAGCTGAAGAGCAGAGATTATCCGACCTTGCTAATAATACCACTCTTTCATTTTAATTAATTTTTTAGGGAGTTACAGTAATTTCATTTTATGTGATTTTTCTTTTTCTAAAAAACGTTTTTTCAATTATGCTTGCTTTTAAATTTTGTATTATTTCTTTTACCAACAGAACATATCACAATGAGTCAGCCAGTAGGTAAGCAATTTAAAAATGTAATTTTATTGAATACACAACGTTTTTATCCAAACAACATTTAGTTTCATTTGATTTTGAATAATTGATTATTATTTATGCCCAACTAAACTCCAAATCCAGTCCCTCTTCATCCTCCAAATCTCAAGGTAAAAATGTGCTAAAAACAGCACCACCCCCCACCTCCAACCACCACCAAAAAAAAAAACTTAAATGTAACTGATTTTGTTATAATTACTTCAGATGCCAAATTAACCATTCCAACTGCTGAGGCTTCTAAATCCAGTTCAGCATCATCATCTCAAGGTAAATATGAGCTCCACTGCAAGTTGAATGTTTTTTGCCAAAAAATTGAAGATTAATGTCAATCATTTTTATATATTGCTTGTGACTGCATGTAAGAATCACTGAAACAAACACTGTCTTGGATAGTTAATTTTAAGAAGCCATTATTGATGTTTTCACATTTCTTTTCTTTATAGATTCTTTGGTGGCATATGTGCATGAATTAACTGATTTGAAAACAAGTGCCAACAACAACACTTACTTCAACTTGAAATTACAAACCAATGAAAGTGAATCAATTAAGGCAGTTTGCTTTTCGCCGGAAAAGCACAAAACCTTCAAGGCCAGTGCAGAGAAGTCATCGCCAATAAAGATAACCAATTTTCACCGGAGAAAAAACAAATATTCCGAAGAAGAAGAGGTCCACATAAATAAAAGATCTAAGTTAATGGATGCCGATGAAGAAGAGGTGAAATTTGACTTTAAAACTGAACAGTCCTTTGATGATGAGTCATTTACACCAGTAAATGAATTAATACATGAAAAGAAGCAAAGGAGAGTAAATGTCAAAGGAAGAGTGACTTTCAAAGGGCCACAAGAAACCTGCATGTCTAAGCAGAAGACACTCTTGAAACAAGAAGCCTTCCTGACCGATGAAACGGGATCTATAAGATTAGTCCTGTGGGAGACGGATATTGCAAAAATAAACTCAAACAGCACCTATCAAATGATGAAAGTCAAGCTCAGAAGCTACCAAGACGAGTCCTACATTACTCTTAACATGCAGTCCCTCATCATTCCACTTGACTTACAAATCTCCCGAGAGGATGACCAACAACTACTAGCGGAAACAATGCACAAAGAAGTTAATTTGCCAGCAGCAGGAGTCAAAACAGTTTCAAAATATTTGTGCTGCAATACCTGCAGAACAAAAATTGATGAAAACAAGAAAAAAGTTAAATGTTCTCAATGTGGGCTCTCCCAATTAAAAGAAAACTGCTCAACAAGACTCTATGTAAAGGCAAAATTCTTAACAACCACAAAAGAATCAGTAGATTTAGTTATCTTTGATGACAAATTGAGAGTCCTCCACTCAATCAATGAACATCAACAGTCATTTGAACTTTTGACTGAAGATGAAATAGAAGATCTTCTGTTAGAAGGACAAGGAACAATTCTTTATAACGACAAGTACAATGTTATATCCATTTCAAAGATGGTAAAGTAATCAGTTATACAAGATTTGACATATATCCTAGCTATTATTATAACAGTTTTACTTAATTTTTACAGCTTTTTTACAAAAAAAAAAACATTTATTTTAAGTATCTCTACATTTCTGTAAGATGATCTAAAAATATTATTACTTTATTAATTACTATAGGTTTTTATAAAATCCATTATACAATTATATTTTTATTTATTTTTCAAATATTTTTTATTTAATTTGAACATATCTAATCATATTCATATTAGAAAATTATCGAACTTTATTGTTACAGTTTATATCATACTTTTAAACTTGTTTTTCAGAGATACTACTATCTTATATAAGTATCTATACATTTCTACAAGTTGATCTAAAAGATTTATCATTTTCTTGATTAGTTAAACAAATTTTAATCAAATCCATTCACATTTTTTATAGTGATTTCTCAAAATCTTTTATATCATTTGTATATATCAAGTATTGTTCAATACAAACCAAAAACTTTCAGTATAAAATTTGTGTACTAGCATAGGTTATCATATTAGAAAATCATATAAATTTTATTGTTACAGTTTATATAGGAACTTTTAAAATGGTCTTTGAGAGATACCAATATCTTCTAAATATCTCTACATTTACATTTCTACAAGTTCTTCTAAAAAAAATATCATTTTATTGATTACTATAATAGTTTAGAGATCTATTACCAATTATATTTTTCTTGATTTTCTCGAATAGTTTTTATCTTATCTATTTACTACATCAAAAGTTTGAACATAAGAACAAATGGTCAAAGCTTGAAATCAAATTTTTTACAGTTCTTTAGAATTATGGTATAACTTTTATCTTAATCAATGTTGTTCTTGAAAACAATATGGTGCTGTTTATATATTGGATGGTGTCAACAGTATTTTTCAGGGTATAATAATGATAATTATAAAATTTGAATCTCTTAATTTTTTTAAATAAATGATTTTGAATTATCGAAAACGTCTGTTTTTTTTTCACCTTGTCTATTTATACAAAACTTTACTTGCATCATATTTCAGGCATCGCACTTTCTCTGTCTTATTATCTGCAATTCTATTTCTCATTCACGTTTTTAACGTGCAATAAGGGTTCACACAGCAGAATGTCATTCGAATATTTCCATGTCAGAGTAACACAAATGCAGCAGGCTAAATGAAGGCATGCAACACATAGAAAGGAATCACAGTGGCAGTAATTTTTTCTATATCACGTTGACAATTAAGGACGTTCATTGGCATTGGATTCCGTGATGTCAATTCGATGAAATTTTTTTGGCAAATACGCGATGACATAAACTTGCAAAAAAGCGATAAAAAAGTGGAGGCCACCGGCTTCATTTTAGATGCAATTCTTGCACAAAATCACCAAAATTGTCAAAGAAAAGCGCGCGAAAAGGGGTCGATGCCGTCTACCAAAAAACTTCCCGAAAAATATAAAACACATATCAATTGATCCAAATTTTTCCACAAAAGCTGAAGGCGATAATTGTTAATATTGTTTACGAGACTTTGAAACATTACATGATGTGACTTTTGATTTCTTTTGGACTTTTGTTCGTGTAAGGCCGCCACATTCGACGTCAAGAATAGGTGTCATTTCCAGCTAAAACTGCTATATTTCAGAAACCTCTGTTGTCGTTTTTTCCGCTTTCACATATGTTATATTTTTTCCAAGTAGCCTTCTTTTAAGATAAATAGAAATTGGGGTTACCGGGTTCGTTGTCGAAATATTTCGTGTCGAAATCATAGATTTTGCAGGCCATCTTGAATTGCCAGAGACTTTTTTCTGCCAATCTACGACTTTTTAGAGCATTTTCAACACTTTTTCGCCTCATCAATTCTTTAGCAGTAGTAAATCTCTCATTTTTTGAACACGAAGACATTTTTCATTCAAGTAGAAGTTCAGAAAAGTACGTACAAAACCTCATTAACACATAACAAGAGGCGGTCGCCATCTTTGTTTTGCGTGATGCAATTTCGTGACAACTTCCGATTTGGGCGTGCGCAGAAAGCGTGCGCAGTAGCAATGCTAACAGGCAGCACTCTCATGCCCATTAGGTAGACTAGTATAAATTTCTATTTCAGATTGGACGGGACGGTTGCTCGCGCCGTGTGTAGTTTTTTCCCAGAATTCATTTCGCGCAAAAAATCCGGTTAAAACACGTGTTCTGAATCAGTGTCCAAAGAGAAAGCCGTAGCATGAGATCTTTATGGAAAATGTGAAAAATAAAACGCTTAAATGACAGAAGTAGGACTAAAATTGTGTACCAACAGTCATTCGCTTCTTGAAATCTAGAATTTTGTAGGAAAAAAAGACAAGGAAATAGTGCTTTTTAGTCACTGTAGGCGAGAATTAGAGTCAAAACTGCCCTTGTTTTTCGGTTAATTTTTGTGACTTCAACTGTCGCTTAACTGGCTTTTCAATGTCAAACTGAGTAGCGCAGTCATCCATGCTGTTTTAAGTGATTTTATACAAACTTCAAAGTGTGCATTACGACTTCAACACGRACGGCAAAGCGTGTACTTCAAAATAACTCTTAACAATATTAAAAAAAATAAAATTATGAATGGATAATCTTGATTTATTCTTTATTTCCCCGGAGCCTCGTCTGCAATTCTTTTGTGCATGGTCACTGAACCAAAATATCTAAACTCGGCTATTTCAAGTTCCATTTTCCCTCAATAGTAACAGTTGACCATGAAAAATAAACCTTTTTGCGGAGGGAAAACAAGTTATGCAAGGGGACTGTAGTTTTGCACCAAAGCAAGGCAGAATCAGCAAGACCCAAAAATCATTTTTGAGCATGTTTGTCTTTTTTCAGTCAAAATAATTTTTTGTTTGTCATGATTTTGACATGATTTGGCACTCTTGTTAGGAATGTATTGAAAATGTCCATTGTGAAATGTGAAAAGGTCCATTGCTTGGAATTGGTGGAGGGCAATTTACATGTCTCAGTGATGCACAAATACAACAATAATATTTGGATGTTAGGAGTTTGCAATAGTTTTACATTATTTGCTTTTAATAATTGTACATTTGTTTGTTCTATTGATTTTGTTTAATTTGTTTCGTCAATATGAATTTTAGGAAATCAAGAAACAGACTGTATCCTTGTTGATCTATAATTTATTATGATAATGTATTTAATATGATAAATCATTCCAACCACTATTTCATTGCTATTTTTTTACCTTAATAACTATTGCGTGCAATTCATATTCTTGTTACATTTACGTTATGATATTACAGTTATTATATTTAGTATTGACGTCAATTTGCACTGATATATATTTACTGGGTTTAGATATCTGCTCTTGATCTGATACTATCACCAAATAAATGCTGCACATAAAAAATAGTTACCTTGGGGATGGCCAAGTCATTGAAAAAAATATTTAAATTATAGTAATATAGAAAAAAATATAAAAAATATCATACTATACATTTTATAGTATTGAATTATTTTTTGTACTTGAAGTCACTTCTTAACAAATGTTTTAGTYATTGATGCTGTTGTAGTTGCAATGGATTTATTAAGAAAAAGAACAGCGTAAGTTTATATAGCATATTGGTATGTAGCAAGAGCATGGAATAACTTAGGATGAAAATGAAAAGTAACCTGTGGTTGTTTTTTAGTAAAATGAAGAAACTGTTAAACAACCTTGTAGTCTAGAGAGCAGATAAGGAAATACTACAATAGCATAGATGACAAATGCAAATATAACAAAACTTGAGCTATTAATAGTAATGATGTCTTAGAAAACCTTTGGAATGACTTCAGCATGGTCATATTCATTCTATTTTTAATCTATCTCTTTGTTTTTGCGTCATCCCACCTTGTACACCTGCCCACTTTCCAGAAGAGAAATTGTGCATTTGCCCTTGATTATGAGTTACAAGTACTATGTTGTATTTGCTATGCTATTATTATGTATTTGCATAGCAAATACAACATAGTACTTGTAACTGTAATCAAGGACTTAAGAATTGTCTTAAAGTAACACTTTTTTGCCAAGTCAAACTAGGACAATTGCATAATATGTAACATTGTAAGCATAATGCTGGTATTATTATAGTGCTAGGAAGCATTATATGCATGTAGGGGGGGGGGAGTATTGATACATATTCTTGATTACTGATATTCAATCCATTTTGTGCAATTTCTAGTGGTAAAAAGGTAGAAAAGAAGATCTACCTATTTACAGACCTTGGTTCACCCTTTGGAGAGGACCAGTTAGAGGTTATCATCARTGGACTCAAAGATATGGATGCACAGTTTGTTTTGGTGTAAGTGAATTTACATATACTGCTGTGTGTAATGAATATGATCATCGCAGTGCAGATCTAGTAAGTGATTATTAAGAAATGTATGGATAGCCAGAAAACATTTGGGGCTTSAACGGGAATCAAACCCATGACCTTTGCGATGCAGTGCTCTACCATCTTCTTAGCTATGAAGCCAACTATGTTAGCGAGCGGTCATTTTCTTGGGTGTGTTGAAGTAATGGTTTGAACTGCGATGAATAAAATGTGTAATGAATATGATTGAATATGATGATGAATTTTTCTTTTCAATTATAAGGGGACCTGATTTACTTGGTGATGATGAACATAGTCACAATGATGGTGACAACAATGACGGCAATCAACCCTCAACRTCCAATGCCCAGCCTAATAACTCAAGACAGCACAGGAAGCCCAAAACACCACAACAAGTAAGGCCAATGTTAAACACCAAACTTGGTTTGTCAAACTATTTTGTTCAAATTTCTTTTTATGAACATACAATCATTCTCTCAAGATATTCTGAAAGGCAAAATGTTTGTGAAATGGTMGTTTATGGTAAAAACTTATATAAATTTAAGGTATAAAAATGGAGGCACATATTGACTATATTTAAGGGATGTATAAATGCTGTAGTAACTTGTATATTATTCTRAAATAATATTCTACATGATAGATTGCTGGAGAGGATTGTATAAGACAAGTTTTAGAGGCCGTTGAAGGGCAAACATACTCATTCAGGTAATACTCATTTATTGCTATTGTTATTTGTACTTACTGTCTTTCCTCTAATTAGCTGATACAAATCCAGCAACTCGCAGATATGAAATATTTCAAAACTAGTGCAGCAGTGAATGTTCTCAGTGGTTAGCAAGAGTATATTCCTAACACTGACAATTCTTTAGAAAATCTTGGCATAAATTTGGCGATTGACTTATCTTTAATTGATTTAACCAATTACCTTCAAATATTCAGAAATTGACAACAACAGGGGCATGTGCAGGGGTATTATGAGAAAGAGGGGTACACCTTTGTTTTTGTGGTTTCTAGACCAATGAACCAAAGAAGCTGATTGACTGGAATTTACATTGCAMAAGCATTGTTTGGGATTTGCACCAAACAAACTGTTGGAGTATCCAAAAATTTTACCCTATTGATTTGGCAAATAAAGTCTCATATTTCAAAGACAATGGCTGCTAAGGAAGGGGGTGYCTAGTCTCCTTCCCATCTGTTTTCTTGTCCCTTGGGACAGGAAGCCCAAAACAAAAAGGGATGCAAAGGAGACGAGCGGGTTCCAGAATCCTTGGAAAACCACCTGCACACGCCTCTGACTTGGTATGTTTTTTTTTATTTTTGGAGGTGATTTTCTTATAGCTTGAAAATCCAATTTCTAACTTTCATGGCAATTAAAGGGACATGGTCCACCAGCACCCCTTTTGAGCTTTTGTTTATGTTTGAAAATAGAAATACATCATAATATAAGCAAAAACTTGCTCTTTATTGTTCCTTTATCCTATATGAATGGAGATGCTTTAATATTCGACCRTTAAACCGATGGATGGAAACGAATTGCAAATGGATATTCGAAGTCACCTCATTTTCCATATATGAAAAATCTAAAACACGACCGCATTKCATGCTAGTGGAACATGTCCCTTTAACAATGCAAACATTGTCACCCACCTATTGATTGAGTATACTCRTCTGGTAATTATCATAACACACAATTTATKATTGACAATCTYGTTRTTTTCAGTCAAGTTCTTCCAATGCTTAGTTTCTTTGAATGTCGACGGATAAAACAGACCACTGTATTCAGAGGACCACTGGAAATTGGTTCTTCTCTTAAAATCAATGTGTGTGGCTATAATAGGGTAAGTGAAATGTGAAACAAACTCTGGTGCAAATCCTAGACA